CAGATACAACATCCAACTGCCGAAAATCAGCTTTGTATACACATTCCCAGCCAGGTCATTCCCTCTAACATTGCTACACCTGCCCTCTTGTTGCAAAATCTGCTGCTGTGCAGCTATTCCCTTGCACGTCCTCTGACCTTGATGGCTTTGCAACAAGAAAAGAACACCACCTTAACTCAGGTGTCAAACACCCTTCCTCTCAACAGAAGTGTGATGACTGGATCAGTCTGTCAGGAATTCATGCTTGATATAGAATTGCTATAGGATTGTTTCACTGGAATTAAGAAAACCATGTCTTTGTTCCCGTTAAGAATGGGGTTTTGAACCTGTGGCCCTCAAGACTCTAAACTGCAGTCCTCAAAGGGGACGAATCAACAGAAAAAGTCTCTCTGAAACCCCAGGAGCAGTTCCAGAGTGAGCCCAGAGCGCTCTGAGCAGCTGCTGTTCTTTTCCTGAGGCCTGCTGCATCACTGGTGTGGGAGGAGAGAAGTCTGGTTGCTCCATCGCCTGCCTCCCTGTCAGGCTGGGAATCCCAGGGTGAGCAGGTCAGGAGCTCGAACCTAGGGAAGCCACTAGCAAAGAACAGTTTCCCTTCACACAGCTCCTGAAAGGGCAGGAAAAAGTGGAGTGACAGAAAGCCAAACTGTTCCAGTTCCAGCCCACGCATAGACTACAGCTGCCTGGGTACTACTTTAATTTGCACCATCTGGCAGTGATGCCCTAGGGACCACATACAGTGTAGTGCAACCACACCCTAACCTGACCTGTGAGTCAGGACTCATGGGGAAGGTGGTGTATTAACTGGCTAGGCTGGCCCTGCCTCTCTACACCAGGGCAATCCCTCAGAGAGACTGGTGCCTGAGGGGTACAAAGGGAGCTAATCCAGACAGATACTCTTCCCCAAGCACTGATTGTGGTCCCTTGACCTTTTTATCCCAGGTTGAAGGACCCAGACACCCCTGCGCTCTGCTCTGACTGACAAGAGAATAGGGCTCATTTTAATACTCCAAGGGGAAAGACAATGAATGCCCCAGGAGGGGAGGCCAAAGAGAGCTCTCCTGGGCACATGTAAACAGAGCAATTTGCACAGTGACTCAAGGTATCTGAGGAGACACACCACTGGGGTCTCCCCAGATATCAAGGGGGATGGGTTACCAAAAGATGAGAGCGAGAGGAAAGGGAGACCCAGCACTGGGAAGCTTGACGGATAAAGGCAGAGTGACACCAAGAGGCCTGGCGGTGATGGGGGGCTCTTAGCTCAGCCCACCTTGATGCACTACTCATGGAAACATGCTGCAAACTGAACTCTAGATGAAGTCTCAACTCTGCAACCTCAAAGGTCTCTATTTGGATGCCCACTGTTCCTTTGTTTTGCATTTCCTATGTGGTTTTCTTCTAGAAGTACGAACAAAACACACGTTTCTGCTCGTGGCAAGAGTGTATTTTCCATTTCAATACATTGGCCACATGGATACTCGGCTACTTCCTCAGCAAGTTCAATATCTTCATAAATGATCTGGAGGATGGTGTGGATTGCACTCTCAGCAAATTTGCGGATGATACTAAACTGGGAGGAGTGGTAGATACGCTGGAGGGGAGGGATAGGATACAGAAGGACCTAGACAAATTGGAGGATTGGGCCAAAAGAAATCTGATGAGGTTCAATAAGGATAAGTGCAGGGTCCTGCACTTAGGATGGAAGAATCCAATGCACCGCTACAGACTAGGGACCGAATGGCTAGGCAGCAGTTCTGCAGAAAAGGACCTAGGGGTGACAGTGGACGAGAAGCTGGATATGAGTCAGCAGTGTGCCCTTGTTGCCAAGAAGGCCAATGGCATTTTGGGATGTATAAGTAGGGGCATAGCGAGCAGATCGAGGGACGTGATCGTTCCCCTCTATTCGACATTGGTGAGGCCTCATCTGGAGTACTGTGTCCAGTTTTGGGCCCCACACTACAAGAAGGATGTGGATAAATTGGAGAGAGTCCAGCGAAGGGCAACAAAAATGATTAGGGGTCTAGAACACATGACTTATGAGGAGAGGCTGAGGGAGCTGGGATTGTTTAGCCTGCAGAAGAGAAGAATGAGGGGGGATTTGATAGCTGCTTTCAACTACCTGAAAGGGGGTTCCAAAGAGGATGGCTCTAGACTGTTCTCAATGGTAGCAGATGACAGAACGAGGAGTAATGGTCTCAAGTTGCAGTGGGGGAGGTTTAGATTGGATATTAGGAAAAACTTTTTCACTAAGAGGGTGGTGAAACACTGGAATGCATTACCTAGGGAGGTGGTAGAATCTCCTTCCTTAGAGGTTTTTAAGGTCAGGCTTGACAAAGCCCTGGCTGGGATGATTTAACTGGGAATTGGTCCTGCTTCGAGCAGGGGGGTTGGACTAGATGACCTTCAGGGGTCCCTTCCAACCCTGATATTCTATGATTCTATGAAAGCCAAAGAGACAGAAGCAAAGAATCCTTTTTAGCACTGGAAACTCAAGACACAGATCCTCTGATGGTGTAAATCAATATATCTCTGCTAATTTCAGTGGACCTACTAGGCTGGCTGACACCACAGGAGGATCTAGCCCTTAGAGCCTAAATCCTCTACAATTTCATTTAAAAAACAAGTGTCTTTGGTTAATAATGTGACAGGGAGTCTTGCTCACTAAAGCACTGCCTCACAGGCAGTCAACGTCAGTAGTCATCCGGTGTTGTTATGTCCATTGGCTCTTCAGGGGCCTTGCTCCAATGCGTAGGATTGTGTCAGTCCTTCCCTCCCCCGCCCGTGGTCAGGTTCCCACAACACAAAAATGGCCACAATTGGCAGAGGAACCAAGGACTGAGTGGGAAGTGGAAACTAACATCTTCCCACCTTCAGAAAGGGCCACTCTGGGGAAAGCTTATGTTGCTGTGGCCCTTGTGGTACCCACTTAGTAGACATCTATAGGACATCAGTCTCCAGAGATGCAGTCTAGTGCCTTGCAGTTGCTCTACATTAAATTACCTTCCAAAAGGAAAAAAGAATGACATTTGAGCTGGCACACCCGCTCCCATTTACAAGTCCCTGAAATACAGGCTTGATTACAGAAACACTCACAGATCCTGAACTCTACCTAGGCTAGGGAGCCTGGCTGTAAACCCACCTCCACCATCATGCAGAAAGTTGGCTGTGCAGCCCAAATTCCTGAAGTTTCCATTACATGCCCATTTTCCCCCAGCTAAATGTCATTGAACCAAGTGAATACAAGAAAGGTGCCAGCACGCCACACCCAATGCCAGCATGCTGGCGTCTCCCCCAAATTACATACCACATGAAAGCTCTTAACAACACAAACTATAGTCAATCATTTTTTCTCATTTAAAAAGTCAACAAATGTGCAACTGCAGTCAGGACCTGATCCTGGAGAGGTAGACAGAGAACACAGAGATGTATGTGAATCCTTCCCAACATACATAGTGAGGAGAGAGAAGGAGTAGGCATTCATCCAGCTGTGCATAAGTTATAAAGGAACTGAGGCAGCAGAGAGACAACAAACATGCCTTATATCTTTAACAAGAGTGACCAAACCAGAGGCCTGGATTACGCTAACATTGTACCCACCTTTAAAAGTGAAAAAAGCCCATTGAGCCTCACTTAAACGTAACAAAAAAGAGACGAGAAAATAATTACAGAACAAGTTATAGAACAGCTAGACATGTATAAAATGAGAGGGACAAACCAGCACAACTTCGGTAGCAGTGACCTGTGCAGAATGCCAAGAGATAGTTAAAACAGTGGAAGAGGATAAACGAGTGGAAACAATTAATTTAGACAAAGAATGACTGTTAAGGATACAAGAAAGCACAGTGTGAAGCCCACTGGGATTCAATGAGGTGAAAGGTTGCAGTATGGAATCAAAAATAGCAATGATGGCCAATATCACTGTGGACAGGGTTTAATAATGGAATGTACTGCAGGGATCAATACTAGCAATGGTGTCATTCAAGAGATTTATAAATAGCCAGGAAGGGGAGACGAATAGTTGAGTGGTAAATAACTTGGATCAGGAACAGCCCTGCATTCTGATTGGCTGAGACAATCTCCTTTCAGTGTAATCCTCAGTCACTACTGTATGTAAAACCTTGCCTTCAGACTCACTCAGAAGAAGAGATTTAAAGAAAGAGCTTTTTCAAAATGCTTAAAGACAAGCAGGCAAAGTTCTGGGTGACCCTTGGGCTGTGTTACATTCATCTCAGAAGAGCAATAGCTATGAACATAACCAGCCCACAAACCCATAGCACAAATAAAAATATGGATTGAGATTTTCAGAGCAGCCCAGGGAATGGAAAATGCCCCTAAATCCCACTGACTGCTTTGAAAATCACAATAGTGGAATGAAGTGACTCTTCAAAACCTGCTACACAGATGAAGCAATTTCCATTCGGCTGCTCCCCAGAATTGTATCTTCCGGGTACAATTTGGAAATTTGGCTGTTTGACTGAATCACAATACTTATGAAAGATTTTGCTTTCTATTAATTCTGACAATACCTCACAAAAACAGGTTCATTATAGACACAAAACCACTTCCTCCTGAGTTTCCTTCTCTGTGCCATGCTGTTCATTTTCGCATGAAAATCTGGTCCTGGTCGAAGATGCTGGAGCATGAAGTTCTCGCTTTGTCCCAGAACAACAGCCCAGACAGCAGCTGTGTAAGCGCTGCTCCAACCCCGGCAGATGTGCTTTGACTCTCATCTCCAGGGTCAGAGGAGAGCCCAGTCTCTGTGGCCTGTTTTGTCCTTGGCGTCCCTGTTGAGGCTGCCAGCAGGACAGATCGTTCTAGATTTGCAGTTGTTATTTTTGGTATGTGAATGCCTGCCCCTGGGGAACTCAACTAAGGCACAACTCAGCCAACGGGTGGGAACCACTAGTGAGCTGGGCCTCACTTTAGCCTGAGCTAGAAGGCAAAAGGCTCCATATCCTGTGCCCATCCCAGCCCCCTCGACAACACTGTCAGATCCCACTTACTGCCATGTATGGTCTGCACCCAGCGTCTCTTGTTTTGGCGATGGAGTCCACGAGTTGTCCACTAATGCCAAAGTCACAGAGTTTAATATTCCCATTTCTGTCCAGAAGAATATTAGAAGGTTTGATGTCTGTGAGTGAAAGAAAGAAAGAAACAGGTTAAGTCGTGGATGGAGATCTCCATTTCAAAAGCCATGTGGTTGCGCAGTGACAGACACAGACATCAGAAAATCAGAGCTAAGGTTGAACACTTGGTGTCAACTCTTCCTCTTTAACATTTATGTTCAATGGTGATGTCATCACATATTTCCCAAACATACTATCTATCACTGCCTCATAGCCCCATCACAGAGATATCTGGCAGTTTATTTTGGGAGCACTGGCTGGGAAAGTAGGAGGAGATACAGAGACTGTCCTAGTTCTGAAGTTCTTTCTGAAGAAGCCTCATTACCCACTGTGTTTGGCTCTTAATTAGCAAACAAAACTGTGTTTAGTGGCATCTAAGGTTGTGGCAGGCCACATCTGGGGTTTTTGACTGCAAGTGTACAAGAGGGTGTACAAGCAAGTGTACAAGTGTACACAGCCCACACAGGCTGAGCGGTACACTCCCAGAGAGGGTGTCTCCATGACAACTGGGGCTGTGACTGCCAGCTCAGAGAGACATACCCATGCCAGCTTTGATCAAGCTTGTGTACTAAAATAGCAATGTAGCCGCAGCGGCACATACCCAGGGTCTCAGATGGGCAGCTAGCCCATGCCACTGTGATTACACTTCTATTTTTACTGCGTAAGCTCATTCAAAGCTAGTGTGTGTATGTCTAATCAAACTGGAAATTACATGTCCAGCTCCAGTGTAGGTGTACCCACAATGAGCAGCAGCCCTGCTGCCCTGACCCCTTCCCATCCCCACTCAGTCCCTGCCTTTCCCACCACCCAAGACTTGCTGCCTCCATTTTGCCTTTTACTCCCCCACATACCCAGGCTGCCACTGTTCTTCATCCCTGCCCCGCTCCCACTCTAAAATCCTGCTCCCTGCCTTGGTCATCTCTCCTCTGGACTCCCACAGACACTTTCTCCCTGGACTCACGCTCCCGCAGCCCAGCCAAAGGGCTGCTCAAATTCTCTTCCTGCCCTGTTACTCTGCTCAGGTCACTCACTTCTCCAGCTCTCTGCACTGCCCTCCCTGTGCCTCCTGCATCAAAGTCAGGCTTCTCCTTCTCTGCGAGGACTTGCACAGTTCCCCTGTCGCCTGTACCTTCTCCTGCTCTCCCCTCGCTCAGTCCCAGCCTCCCCCCAACCTCCCCCTTTGTAGCCTTCTCCCCATCACCTTCACGCTGCCTCCCATGCCTCCCCTTCTGAGTGGAACAGTTTCCCCTCTTCCCATGTGTCACAGGACCTCCCACTACTTCACATCCCTCCCCAGAGCTCACTCCTTCCAACAGTGACCTCTGTGAGATCCCTACACAGCCCCTGGTATGCTCTGTGAAACTGGTCTCTTCCAGGTGGGTCTCAACTAGCGTGTAAGCTCCTTGGGGCAGGGTCTGTTTTCTCATGTGCCAGCTACAGCTTCCCCAGTGCAATTCTGCAATGCAGGTAAAACATCTCCGGCATTTTGAAATTGAAAACATTTGTTGCTTACAGATGGGTCATCTGTGTTTCAGATAGACAAACAAACATACTGAGAAATGCCATCAAATTGAGAGAAGGGCCTCAAGTCACTCAGTCAACTAACACACTGTATCTCACTGTAAATTCCTACTGGGGAAAAGGTTCAGGCAGTTTTTACCACAGTAGCCAAGTAAGGTCAACACTATGAGCCCCACGCAGAAGCTGGTTTGTCACACAATACCAGGACAATACTAAGCCACAAACAGAGGACAGGCAAACAGAGGGAGTTTGCCTGGGGGGGAGTTCCCACAGAGCTTTTTTTTGCCTTTCAGGCTTCTGTGATCAGTAAATACAACATCTGCAGAGGCTCTTAGAAGGAAGATATTATGGATAGTGAGTGATCAGTTGTTGTGACTTGCACAGGATGTGCCATGTTTGTCTTTCTCCCAGAGGACAGAAGAAACTTTGTCTGTACGAAGTGCAAGCTGGTCTCCATATTGGAGGAGAAGGTTAAAGGACTAAAGACCCAAGTATCAATCCTGTGTTGCAACAGACAAAAAAAAGGAAGATTTTTTTGGATAGAAGTCAGCGTTTGGTACTGCAGGCACAGCATGCTGAAGAATCAGAGAGGGCAGTGCAGAACGGTGAAGAAAATTGGCAGCATGTGACCTCCAGAAGAAGAAAGAGGAGAACCCATGTATCCACAATGCAGATAGTGGTAAGAAACCGTTTTCAGGCTCTCTGCGCAGGTATTATGGTGGAGAATGATTTGGAAGAGCCATCTGAGGGAAGGGATCAGAAGGAGACCCCATCGACCGGAAAGGAAAGGTTAGAAACCTTGGGAAATGCAACATGAAAGTTCCTCTCTACAACCTCCCACAAACATTTGAAAGTATGCAATGGCGTAGTTAAAGTCACTCATATGACCTGAACTCTGCCTCCATAACACCACCCTGAGAAAAAACAGAAACATGAAACAATTTGATCTATCCATTACACAGGCTCTTCTCATCAGAGACCACAGCCATTAGAATCTTTTACAGTGAATGCACAAACTCAGGCTCTTTTCAGCTATACACTGTCCCCAGAAGAGACCTACGGTATCAATTCTCAGACACACAGCGAACTGTGGCACTCAATTCATGCAGTTTAGAAAGCTTCCAATGTTCTGACAATGATTCAAATGGCATTAGACACAGAGATAGCAGATCTATGTACAGAAACCACCCAGCTAAGACTGGGATGCCATGGTACCTTACTTACAAAGGAAAAGCACAGATTAGTGTGGAAATGACACATCCCACTAACTACTGGAGATGTGTTTGTATGAAATCAGTTCTAAACCCACTGCTCCATGGCTCTCATTCATAGCACTTCACATACGCCATGAGTATACAAGACAGATTTTCTCCATATTTAGAATGTCCATAGACTACGACTGTGGACTTTTTAAAGCCCTTCTGAAGCAGATGAAGGGGAAGTGAGAAATACTAGTGATGTGGTCACTGTATCAGGACAGTGGCTTTTCCAATGGAAGATGTTCCCAGAAGCTGGCTAGTCACTTCTATAAACAAGCCCTACAGCATGGGCCTGGGCTCCTAAGTCTGCCTTAGCTGACTCCTCGAGGTTTCTGGGAAGATGAAGAGAGGTCCCTCTGGCAGCATCCTCCCTCCCTCCCACTCCCCCTGAGACCATTCTCGCCTTTAGTAATACAGAACAACTGCCTTTAATGAATCAGCCATGTGTCTGCTCTCAATTCCTCCGAGCTGACAGAATGACTCTCCTGAGATCGCGATTCCTCAAGGACCCTCCTGTCCCAACATCTAGGTCTGGGGGTCCCAAGACAAGAGGCTGGGGCCCTCAGCTGAGCGCTAGGACCCAGCGGAAGTAAGGAAAAGGGCAGGAAGGGCAAGTTCTTCTCCTCTTCGCTTCTGCTGCTGCAGTACTCCACCCCCAATGCAGCTTCAACCTCCTGCCTGCATGTGCTAAATTAACCATTGGCCTTTGCTACTCAGACTTTGACTCCTTGCCTTACTGAATTAGCACGCCCCTAGAACAGAGCACAGTGCAGTCAGGACTAGAAAGGGGAGTGAAAGAAACAGCACCAGTACTTTCCCAACTCCACCCATGCTTTCTTGTAGTGACTCCATAGCACTGCAGGGATTGAAGTCATGACAAAAATACTGTGGCTAGTTTGGGGTCCCAGGTGAAGAAAAGTTGAGAACTTCTGAGCTAGGCTGACACCACTTCCCTTTACTAGAGACATAAAGACAGGGGTATGGCCAGAGGGTCTTGGTGATATAGACTTGGTACACTGGGGTAGTTCCAGAGGACTGGAAGAAAGCTAATCCTGTGCCAATGTGAAAAAGCGTAACAGGATGAGCCTGCTGATTATAAGCCTGTCAGCCAGGCATTGATCCAGGGCAAGATAATGAAGCAGATGATATGGCTCAATTAATAAAGTATTAGATGGTAATATAATTAATGCCAGTCAACAGAGGTTTATGATTTTTTAAATGAGATTACAAGTTTGGTTGATAAAGGTAACATAGTTGATGTAATATATCTTCCATTATTGTTTGCCCATGATATTAAAGAGACAAGCTGGGTTCTGTGTTAGCTCGAAGGGTTGTCTCTTTCACCACAGACGTCGATGATAATAAAAGATATGATCTCACCCACCTTCCCTTTGATGTAATATACTTAGATTGCAGTAAAGTGTTAGATTTATTACCACGTGACATTTTGATTAAAAAACTAGAATGATACAAAATTAACAGAGCATACATTAAATGTATTAAAAACAGGCAGACTGGTAGGTCTCAAAATGTAACTGTAAAGAGGGAATCATCACTGAACAGATGTGTTTTCAGTAGAGTCCCATGGGGAATAGTTCTCGGCCCCAGGCAGAGCCATCCCAAGGGTACGGCCAATCGGGGAGATCACTCCGGGCCCCGCACTTTGTGGGGCCCCGCAGGCCAGTGCAATTGGCCGGCGTGTGAACCGCTGGCGGGGGGGGGCTAGCCCCCAGCTCCGCCCCTTCCCGAAGGAGAGTGCGTGGTGCCGCTGCAGCCTCCCCAGTCTTGGGAAAGGCACTCTGTATAGATGTATGTTCTCATTATCTGCACTTACGCACTTCAGATGTCAAGGGAGAATGGAAAAATGATTGAAACCATCCCAAACAAAATACTATGAATTTAAAGTATTTATTTGATATATTTATAAAACTAATTTTAATGATCATCCACAATTATACTTTCACTTAAAATAGGGACTAACCATGAAATTATGCGAAATTAATTTTTTGTAGTTAAGAGGAAAAATAATTGATAATTCCTTTGCAGAAGAGAAACCTACGAACTTACCTCTGTGAATGATTTTCAAGTTTTCTTTTAAGTGGTTTAGTGCTTTCACAGTCTAGGAGAAAAGAGGAGATTTTATGGATGAAAAATAAGTTACTGCAATGAGATTCCTGTGATTATTAAACTATTTGAGCAACATGAGCCAAAACAATAAAGAGGAACCTTGAGTGTCTGAAAGGAAACAATGTAAAGACCTCCATGTCTGTCATCATCATATAAATTTTGACAGGTTTTCACACTCCCTTTTTGGTGTATGTCCATCCTCCAATCTCATTTTTGGACATGTACACTTTTGCAATAGTGGCCATTTTGAATTTTTATGGGGAACATTAGGACTGCCTATGTGTCTGTTTTTTCACAGTTACAGCCATTTTAAAGATTTTAAGAAAAAAATAGGCTTTTTATACATTTTAAATAAAGTTTAGTAAACAGAGGATTAAAGTGTTAAGACATACATATGTTAACAGGCCTTTTTGTATACTGTATGTATTTTTTTGAAATAAAGACATTAAATATTAGAAACAGAACATGCATTTTTAGAAAAAAATGTTATGCATTTAGGTTGTTTAGAAATAAAGTCTAAAAATAACTATGTTTTTCTGAAATAAAGGTATTAAATATTAGTAACAGAACATGTGTTTTAGAGAAAATAAAGTGGGGCAGGTTTTAATACTGTGCAACACAAAGTGAGAGAGGCTGTAGAACAGCCAAGAAAAGTAAAAGCTTTTCAGCCTGTTACAGAAACAAAAAGAAAATAAACTCAGATAAACTGCAGAAAAATTTTAAACCAACAGGAAAGGAAGAAAGCCTGTGTCACTGACCAAGAGGCAGAGAGAGAAGAAAGGCACTTACCCTGGCAGCTGCCAACAGTCAGCCAGTAATTCCAGGACAGTCAGCCTTGGACAAGCCATGCCTCTTGGCTGAGCCAATCAGAAGCTATTCTTTAGACAAGTCATAGAATTTCATTTTCCTGAACCAATAATAAGGTCCCAAGAGGCATGGCTTTTGACAGCTGGTTTGCTTAGGTCTAGAGGTCTTTACTACTCACTCCTCACCTGAGCTCTGCTATTATAAATGATTTTGCAACACAGTGGGAAAGTGGTACTTTGCAAAAGCTAGTGGGGAACTGTGTATGCAGGAAGGAAGCAGGACAGTATGGTTAAGAGCTAACATGGGGGCTAGACAACCTGTCCCTGTGCACCTTCGTCTACCTATCAGTTATGCTCTCACAGAGAGAAGAACCCAACACTCAGAACATTGTTAAAAAAATCTTCCTCATCTCAGTCTGTGGGGCTAGTAAGGGAGGAGAATTTAGGGGGTAGTTCAATGTGTCCACAGAAAACCAATCTAAACCAAAATCAAAACTAAACACACCCAACAACACACTTTCCTTCCTGATGTAACCTCAGGCTTTATGGTAATAACAGGCTAGAGGAGGGATGGTGAGCTTTGTATGTGCCGCTCTCCCCTGTTATAGAGGAACAGTCAGAGAGGTATTTTAGTTCATTTTTCACACCCACACCTAAACCTGTGTTAGGCATTTCTAAATACAGATTTACGGGCCTAACTTTAGTTACCCAAGTTTGAAAACTGGCTGGAGGAAAAACTACACACACTCAGAACTAGGAGCTCACCTGAAATGCCAGAGGGCTGCAGCGCCGACAGCCACTGAGGCAGCAGGCTGCAGTTCAGTCACCCTTTGAAAAAGGTGGGTTTTGGCACTAGTGGTGGATTGGCACTTTACTTATAAACCTCTGGTGCTACTGATGTCACTTTGATCTCACTACTTTTCTATACCCCAATCCCCTTCCCTCATGTATACACAAGACAATACTCTTGAGGAATGTGGATCATATGGACATGTTAACAATCTGGCCATCAAGCTATTTCTCTCAGTGTGGCTAATGAAGAACCTATTCCGACTTTTCCAAAGGAGAGTCACTAGAGCCCTGCAAATCTGCGGATATCCGTGGACCATGTTTGTGGATGATGGATTGGATGCGGATACAAATTTTGTATCCACGTAGGACTCTAGGGGTCAGGCCCAGCTAACTGCTATGCTATTTCATGCATGCAGCTCCTGTTACCTAGGTTCTTATTCAGCAGCATCTAAGGACCTAACAAAATGATGATGCATATACATAGTGTTCTCCTGTCACTGTCCCACTGTTCTCCAAGCTCTGTACCTTGGCGTGTGTGTGGGGGGCAGGAGTTGGGGTGGGTTGTTTTTGCTTGTGTCACTGTATTGTGCCTCTCTTGTGGAAGGCTGTTTGAAGAAGCCAGTTGTGTAACTGGCTGAGGTTCACAGACTTCCTGATTCCATTCAAATGAAGCCTCAGCGCTCCTGGACCACAGGGAAAGGTTCAGAAGTTGCCAGCTCTTCCATGCAATCAGCATGCCTCACACTGTGCCCACAAAGCAAGTGATGGGCTTTAATGGTTCTATAAAGCAATCTAACCATTGCTAGGGTACTAAGGAGAAATCATTCTTGCTCCATAGCAATAGGTGAAATGGAGTCTGTGTTGTCCACTCCGTTTTGGCTGACCCTCCAAAAGCTACAAACAAATCCCAGTTGCCCTACACTGATAGGATGGCTCTGGGGACAAGGGGATCCTGAGCTATCTTGCCTTAAACTCACAGATGTCGAACACTGCTCCAAAAGCCTAACTTATTTTTGAGAATTTGCAGTAACAGTAGCAGAAGAGATAAAACCCTATGAGAGGGACCCCCAGAGCCAGCCCCAGTATTGCATGGACACACCCCGTCACTTCCACCCTGCCCAGGACTGGTCTTCCCTTTGATTTTGGCAGTACCTTTTTAGTCCAAAGTTTACTGACATGGAGCATGTAGCCAAGTACTCTTACGTACTCTGAAACTGCCTGATCAAAACACCCCAAGATCAGGTTTTTCCCATCTCTGGGTGGCCAGTGGAGGTGGAAGAAATAGTCACAAGAAAATATAAATGCCTGAAATGTGACATTTTGTATTTCACTGCGGATTCAAAATCCATCCCATTTCTTTATGAAACCCTGGGGATAAAATATTATCATAAACGCAAAAAAATTTCATTTCAAAAACTTGTGCTTTTTCATGATTTTTCAGCCAAATTACCATTTTCATGAATTCCAGATGCACTGAAAAACATGGGAGCAGCACGAAAAGAGGGCAAGCCGAAGAGTTCATCCCTCCGTTGGCCCTGCCTGGAATGAGAGCCTCCTGCCAGGCAACGAACCAGCCCTGGTTAGTGCCATCTGTTAACGTGACAATCCAGGTGGAGGGTTACTGGAATGTCAGTGAACCAGAACCAGGGCCTTTGGATTCAGCTTGAATTTCAGGCAAAAGATTGTGGGGTGTCTCTATTCACTGAGGCCTCCCCCTCCAGGGCTGCTGACTGCATCTCCACCAAGTAATAAAGAGTTAACATAATATTAAAGCAATGGTAAAACCAGAACCCTAAAGATTCTACAGAATGCAAATAAACCAGAGGGAACAGGGCTAAAAAGTCAAAAGCATAAACTTTTAAAATGATCTTTAAAAATGTGCAAAAAGGGAGCAGCAAAATCTAAATACTTACAGCTAAAGTGATTTTGCCTAAGATTTCTTCTGGAATAACATCATCTAATACACTATATACATATTTGTAAAACTTATCAAACGAGGTAGACATGAGCTCCATACAGATCCAACAGTCACCCTAAAAAAGAACAAACAGATGTCACGGTGAAATAATACATAAGAATCAACAGAATGCAGAGACCCTTTTGAACCTGGTCGGGACCATGAATAGGCAAACATTTATTATGCTCCAACAGCCTGGCCCATGAGGGGGGCTGAAGCCAGGCTGAAGAACCTCGGGTGCACATACTAACATGTACAGTGAAAGTAAAGACATTGGTTTGTGACAACCTTGCCCTACTAGAAGAAAGAGAAGACCACCGGGAGGAGAGGCATCTCATCCTCTCCTGTGTGCAAGATGCCAGGTCACTGGAAATGGAATTGGCAGCTAAAACCCAAGTCTGAGTCGCTTTCCGTCATTTCCATCATTTTATTTAAAAGATGTAAAGGCTACAAAACAAATTACACAGAACCCCGAACCCCAGATAAAATATTCAAACCCAGAACTGAAGCAAATCTCCATGAGAGATTAATATCCCCTCATTTCAAACAGTGCCCCTGCCCATGTGCAGTTCTGTTAATACTGAGAGATGGGTATCTTTAAAAGTGATTTGCAAATGGTTTCATATTTTATATTTGAATTCATTATATCCAGTACAGTGGTAAAGGCAGAATGTAACCTTAAATGTGTTACACAGCTGTGACCAGAAGCTTTGCCCAGTAATTCCTGCAACAAGCCCAAAACTTCTGGTTAGCTAGAGCAGATCTGTCTAGAGCATATCTTAAGGCATCCAATGTTAAAGCCTTTAAATGATGGAGAATCCACCACAACCCTCTGTATGCTATTCCAGTGGTTCAATGGGTCCAATGGTTAATTACCGTGACTTATAATTTTGTGCCTTTTTCCAGTCTAAATTTGTCTAGCTTCCAGCCACTGGATCTCATGCTGCCTTTGTCTGCTAGATTAAGGAGCTCTCCTCTACCAGAAATCTGCTTCTGAGAGTGGTTGTTATGATGTGGTGATGCAAGATAGTTAGGAAAGCTTCAAGATGTAACAGGGTGGTCCATGCCTTTAAGGACATGGGGGCCTAAGGCCAGCCAGCCCAGTTTGATTATTAAACTCAAATGGGAAGGGGTCAGGCAATGCCTATAAAGAGCTGAGTCAATTGAAGACAATGAGGACGACTGCCTTGTCCTGATGAATTTTCCCTAAGACCTGAGATGGGAGCAGTAAACGAGGAAGGCATAGTTCAGATGACTACAGAAGAAGTAGAGCATTAGCCTGTCAGTTATGTCTTAGGGCTCCTCTGGAGTACTATATATTGCATTTTCTGTTATTATGAGAAGAGGGATTGTATTTTTTGTTTGAAAATCTCATGAGAATGGCCACTGAAAAGGTGTGGTGACGGGAGTTTTAGAGGGGGAGGTAAATTTGATTGCATAGCCAGAATGGATGATGTTTAGTACCCATTTGTCCATTGTTACAGCACTCCAGATGTGGAAAAAGAGTACTATATGACTCCCAAAGGGCGTGTGGGAATCAGCATTTGGTGGTTTGCAGTTCTTGAGCTCTCGTCAAAAATATTGTTTAGATGGGGGCTGGGATTGGGGTGATAATGTTGCTTCAGACAATGTAGGAAATGGGACTTCTGAATCCTTTTCCTCTTACGGGGTAGCTCGTAAGGATGCTGGTGGTAAAATTGTTGAGCCTTGGTGTTAGGCTTGAATGCTTACCTGTGGAGTTGTTTGGGGAAGGGGTACATATTCCCAGGGAGCAGAGGGTGACCCTGAAGTCCTGTAGACTGTGTAAGGACTCATCTGTCTTTTGGTTAAAAAGGTGAGTTTCATCAAAGGGCAGGTCCTTCAGGATGTTCTGGACCTCTGTGGGAAACCCCATAGTGTGAAGCCATGATTCAAAGCACATCACAATGGCAACAGCCACTGCCTCAAAAATGTATCTGCTGCATCTACCACTAATGCTTCTAATGGATTTCCAAATGGAAGTGTCCCAGCTCCCAGAAAGAGAGATGCATATGTAAGCTCTTCTTGATGGAGAATTCTTGCTGGACTGTACTCCATTTTTCATTTTTGAAAGAGGAGGGAAGAATGCAGTGGGGGGAATCTATTCCTTTCCTTGCTGAGTTAAATCTTCTGCCTCAATAGCTGCCACCAGGTTGACTTGCCTGTCAGTTCAGTTATGAATTCTCATTCCAGGCCTGGGATGGATGCCTGTATTAGAAATAGGGCCTAGAGCTGTCCATTCCAATGTAGATGTGTGCTTGCCCTGAGCACTACTGCTGGAAAGTTTTTCTCTCAGTGGTATCTGTCAGGTTGGCTCTAGTGGTCCCTGGAGTCACGCGCTCATAGCACTGAGACGCAGCCCCCTCAGTTCCTTCTTGCTGGCTAACTCCAACAGAGGGGCAGAGGTGGGGGTTGGAATGTACATGTGCAACACATCTTGAAGAACAACATTTACGAAAGATCAGTAACTATTTTTTCTTCTTTGAGTGCTTGCTTGTGTCCATTCCAATGTAGGTAACTCCCAAGTAGTACTGCAGGTGCAGGGTTCGGAGTTCATTGACAAGCTGATTATAACACCACTCGGTCAAATCCAGCATCGTCTCTAGCCTGCGGAGTGATGGCATAGCGAGACACGCAAGTGTGAACTGACAACCATGTTGCTGCTCTACAAATGTCCTGTTTAGGAACTTGTGCCACAAATGCACACAAAGATGCTTGGGCCCTTGTGGAATGTGTGGTCAGGGCAGGAGCGGGGACCTTTGCCAGGTCGTAGCATGTGCAGATACAGGAACTGATCCATGATGAAATTCTCTGGGCTGAGTTTGGAAGACCTTTCATCCTGTCTGCAACCGCCACAAAAAGTTGAGTAATTTTCCAAAATGATTTAGTCCTTTCTATGTAGAAGGCTGGTGCATGTCTGACGCACAGTGAGTGAAGCCTCTGTTCCAGTCTGTTGGCATGTGGTTTCGGATAGAAGACTGGGAGGAAGATGACCTGGTTACTATGGAACTGTGAAACCATTTTTGGAAGGAAGGCTGGATGAGGATGCAGCTCGACCTTGTCCTGGAAGAATACCATGTACCGAGGTTCTGAAGTGAGGGCCTCAATCTCCGAGACCCTTCTGGCTGAAGTAATGGCCACTAGAAAGGCCACCTTCCAGGACAAGTAGAGCAGAGACCACATTGCCAGTGGCTCGAATGGGGGACCTGTGAGCTTCAACAATACCAGGTTGAAATCCCAGTGAAGGATTGGTTGTGATACCTGTCAAGTCCCTTGAGAAAACGACTACAGACAGTATTTGAGAACACGGAATGGCTGTTCACTCACAGGTGAAATGCTGAGATTGCGGCCAGGTGGACCCTAAGAGATGATGCGGATAGTCCCTGTTGTTTCAGGTATAGTAAGTAGTCTAGAATGAATGCTACTGATGATTACGTAGGTGGAACACCCCTGCTGTGTGTGAGGGTTATGGCAAGTGTGTGTGAATGCATTTGTGTGTGTGAGAGACAGAGAGGTGGAACAACCCTGCTGTGTGTGAGGGTTATGGTGTGTGTGTGTGTATGTGTATGTGAGGTGGAACACTTCTGCTATGTGTGAAGGGCGGGGGGGGGGAACACTGCTGCTGTGTGTGAGGAACGTGTGTGTGTGTAGGATATGGGGGGCGGGGGTTAGGAGGAACACCCCTGCTCTGTGAGAGAGATATGGCAGAGCTGGGTAAGGTTATGGGGAGACTGTTTCCTTCAATCTCTGGGAATGGTTGGCAGGATGGATGTGGTGGGGCAATTCTGGCTGATGTTACTCACCAGTTGTAAAATGTGCTATTTAAACTCAGTTCCACTGGTTTACTATCAATTCTATTGTAACTATCTTGGCTGGACGGGGTGATGGCAAAGGTAGATCCCAGGTCGACAGCATACTAGGCATGCTGTCTACATTTACTGACACTGGGGTCTGCAGGCGGACAGGCAGGAGCCTGGTGGGAGGATGATGCAGTAGGGGGCTCATGATATGGCGGAGCATGTATCTAAGTCTGTAGAGTGCTATTTTTCTATGTGGAAATTTTAATCAAAACATCATACTGATGCTGTGTGTTTTCATTTTGTGATGCCCTGAGAGCTGTGGAGAGGTGCCAGAGACATAAAACAATAAATCTGTAACTCAGCAGCAACTGGCAAGAAACATTCCTGTCCAGGGATTTTGTTCAAACCAATTTATCAGAATTATTGATAATTATTTGTTTTATAGTAGCTTTCAACCAAGATCGAGGCCCCATTGTGCTGGGGCTTGTACCACACACATAGTAATAGAGTCCCTACCCTTAAAGGGTTACAAGACAGACAGAGGTCAGGAGAAAGGAAGAATTAATTGGGGATTGGTCCTGCTTTGGGCAGGGGGTTGGACTAGATGACCTCCTGAGGTCCCTTCCAACCCTGATATTCTATGATTCTATATTAGCCTGGTTGTATAGATGGGGAATTAAGGGACAGGGAAACGAGTGATGTGCCAGAGATCAGACAGGGAGTCTGGAAAGCCAGGAATTGAACCGGGGTCTTTCCAGTTGTAGTCCACTGTCTTACCCTACAAGGCCAACCTTTTGCTTTCAGAGATCAGTTATGAACTCCTACTCATCTGCACAGGCTACTCATGAGTTGCTACACTCCCGCCAGCGCAGGTATGCAGGGAGCGGGTAGGCAGTGGTGGAGCAAGGTTGGAGCTTTGTCTCCGCCTCCTCCCTCACCCCACCATATTACGTGAACTACCAGAGCCAGCGCAAAGGGAGAAATAATCTGCGTCAGCAAAGGGCTGGCATAGATCATTTCCACCTGGAGAAAGGGGGAGACAGGAACCAGACCGTGATGTTCACAGTCACAGTCCGATCCCTGCCATGCCGATTGTGTGGGCTGGACTGTGAAGTTACAATTCTGGCTTATCATTTGAGCTCTGGCTGCTGCGCTAGTTCCAGTTCCATCCCCTCAGTTTGTGCCCGCACAGAACGAAGGGACAGGTTTTCTGTGCACAGGAGTACAGAGCTGCATACACCCATGCAGTGAGCCTCTTTCCCCACTGTTTTTATTGCTCACTAAAGATTGGATTTGTTTCGTCCTTGTGGGTGCAGGGGATGGAGCAAAGAGACAATCCCTCCCTGCTACACTTTCTTTCTCCTGGTCTACACCTCCTGAAAACACGTTAACCTATATGGTGGTAAACACTCAGCATAGTCAGGACATGTAGCATTTAACATCTCGTTCCCATGTGGTGGATAGCACTAGGGCCTATGCTCAGGTTAACCCTAACCAGCGGAGACATTAAGTGGGGCAGTCCTCATCTACACCAAGTGCTAACTCCTGGTTACCCAACATGATGTTCTACATGATATAATCTCCCAGGGCAGACAAGCCCTGTGACAGGGCCAAAGGTAGTCCCAGGCCTTGGGCTCAGGGAAATGTAGGACTGACTCCCTTCTAGTGTCCCCAGGTGAAAATCGCTCCAGAAGAAGTGCCTTGGTTGAGAGGGTTTGGCATGTCCATAGTGCAGCATGCATGCCAAGCAGCTCTGGAAAGGATTGTGCCTCCTAAAGCATCACACCCCTTCTCCCCTGCTGCAGCGACTCCTGGGGCTTTGCAGCTCCAGCCGTCCCCAGCACAAGGCAGTGTGCAAAGCACACAACCTTTGAGAGTCTGTGTAGAGCACATCTATAAATCAGATGTGTGAAATGTGTCAGATATCTGAGTGCCACACAACTGTCCAGACAGTCAAACCAATGAAACTCCTCCAAATCCTTGATGTTATCATGGGAGAGCATGGCAGGAAAGCAGCAATAATCTTGACAGGGATCGTATAAATGAATGCCAAACTATATACATAGCAGCAATCAGAATCCAGAGTCTCTTCCCTTCTAGTAATGGGTCTGATTACAACTTGCGACTCAAAAATCCCACAGTAAATTAACTCCTTCCTCCTATAGTAAACTGAAGGCTGCTGCAAATTAAATTTTAAATTAAAATAAAACCTCTGGTATAAATGAAACAAACTCTGAGTGCCCACCTCTCTGAAGAGTGCTCCATAAAACTGAACAATATAGGGGCAGTCACTACTTCGCATCACTACATCCAAGTCCATTAGAAGCTGTTTCTGTTCCTTTTCATCCACCGTTGACCGAATTCTCTGAAAGAGTAAGGAATGGAAGAAGTTTTATCACTAATATGCTACTACTACATCATGCTCAGCCAGTCCACGAGAAACCTGCCAGAATCCCAGTCCCAGGGTGGGGCATGGGGTCTCAAACACATGAAAACAACATGCTTTAAAGAACTAGACCATGTTTTTAAATGAGAAAAAAAATTGCAATTAATATAAACCTAAAGCAAGTTAGTTCAGATTATGAAATCTGTGGCCAAATTTTACTTCAAATCTCAGTGTTATCAGGTGGAGCATCATTAAGCAGCAAAAGGCAATCAAAGATTTTCTTTACCCTCTTTAAAACCTACAGCAAAACAATATTCAGGGTTTTATGCTCAAAGCAATGTGCAGTGGTGAGTTAGCCACAGCTCCATTGATGCTGGGACCTGAACACTGCTTTGAAATGTAACCCTCAAAGATTATATTTAAATTTACTAAAGGAAGGAAATTAAGACGAAGGCACTCCCTACACTGTGCATCAATCACAGCATGCCTGCAGGTCTTTCAGACCAGTTGGTCATTTCATGCCATGATTTATACTGTACATACTAGGCAAGCTAAAAGACCAAACAACTATGCATTTCTTGCCTGGTAGTGGCCTCTATAGTTAAAGATACATAATGGTTTGCATTCTATTATAGCTTTCCAAAACTTGTGTTTCAGGATAAAGTTTTCCATGCTCAGTTTCTGACTGAAGACTTTTGTTTTTCAAAAGCTTCAGCAAAAACAGTTCAACTGTTTTCCAGCATGAGTCGGGGAAAGGGGAGGGATAGAGACAATTTTATCATTATAAACCAATTCTTGCCAAAACATGTAGAAAAAACTGTGGCACGAGGGCATCATCCTACCAACACTACCGAGCATAGTGCTCACAACTGAGCGTAGAACCATGGACGTCAGTGAGACAACTCATTAATAAGCGCTACAGACGGTTGTAGATTGTTTTCAGAGTCAGGCTCTTGTACTGCACTATTTGAGAAATAACGTATGATCATGTAATTGCATACTGTCTCGTAATGACACATACACAGGGGGTAGAGTAGCTGTTACACAATTGTTTTTACTTTTGACATTTCCTGATATTCCGAGTGCTTCACCATGCAGCCTTAATGTTCTAGTAACTTATGTTTTAGCCTAGAACAATAATTCCTCCCTTTCCCAATGGATCCTACGGTACTGTGGAAAACTGGTAAGCTACTTGCACAGCATACACAGGAATCACGTCACACACCCCTCCAATGCAGCCAAATGGGTGAAATACAACAACTGTAGGCACAGAGAGGGATGGCTCAGGGGATTAGTAATGAAGCTACAGACATTTTCATGTCTAGGTCACTGGTTCAAATCTATCTGACAGCAGTTCAGTGGTGTATGTGAAATGAGTTTGGTGAGTCTGTTCCATGACACGTCACGTAAGACACGACTACAATATACAGTACACTGACCCCCTGTAGGCTGCCCCTGCAGAGATGCCAAGGGCTGAAAGAACCTAACAGCTCCCTCAAGGTGGGAGGAGAGGCAGACTGTAGGGTGGTTGGGGTCTCAAGAAGCTTGCAGTACTGCTGCTTTTGCTTTGGTATGGTATGGACAGAGGACATTAGCAGCCAGGACCATCAGCCTAGCACCTCTTAAGAACACTGAATGTACTGAGCTCTTTGTCTGGGCAGCTCCCAGTTGAGACCGCTACTCATGTAGAACACTGCCACACCGCTGGTCGTCTCCATCTGGAACACTCTACAAAGCAGATGAACAGTGGGGGCTCAGAAATTAGCTTTTCTCCAGTTTGAGACCTTGGCATCTCCCTCGACTCAGAGGTCATCTCCTCTGCCCACATCTTCCTTCAACAATGCTGCCTCTACTCCACATTTGCTGAACCCTCATCCATAGCGCCCATCCCCTTTCAATACTAGAACACTTTTCTCGATGGGTCCCCAATTTCTCCTGGCTCCAGCACACACAGAATCCTGTGATCGGCCCTCCCACACCGAGAAAGAAGTTCAGCTGTGCAACCCCATCACTACAATAGCACTGACTTCCTTTCGTTTCAGGATCCAGCCTAAAATTACCCTTCTTGTTTTTAAGACCTTTCCTGGATTCTCCCCAGATACACACTGTTCTCTCTAGTCATCTAGTACTGGCCTCTTCCTCTTCCCCTGCACAATCTCATCAAGGCTCGTGCAACAGCTTCCTCCTCTACAGCTCCTGCCATCCCTATATCTCTCTGGCTCTCCACTGCACTTCAAACTTCAGTTCAAAACATCTCTTCTCTCCCTGCCTTTACCTCCTCTGCGTTATTTATCACCTACCATTGTAAAGCACTTGAGAATATAGTTTATATGGAAGACGCTATTATAACAATAAACTGAAATGAATGTCAAGAACAAGAAACCACCCTGCCCAGTCTTTTCCAAGTACATTCTAACCGGGAAGGGAGGAAGAGGAGACAGACAGCAGGCCCAGAGAAGAGAAAGAGTTTCAGTTATACTGGAGAACTCTTTCAAACAGACACAAGAATTACAAGAAAACCCAAGAAGACAGCATGATATCCTCAACTAATGCACCTTCATGGAGTGGAGAAGAAGACCTTATAGTGGAACTAGGAGGAGGTCCCATACAAAAGTGCTGGAGACTGAAGATAGGTGATCCCAATAGGGGAAAAGCATATGTTGCATCCAGTACAACCGCAGGCTATGAGTGGGTCTGGCCATAAAGAGATGATATTGTTTAGCCAAAGTGCACCAGGGACATTCCACCACAGCTCAGTGACCATGATTAACTGGCTAAGGAGCAAACATTTAGCAATGTAACAAGAACAAAATAAACTGTTGGAATAAGCAGCAGAATCTTGAGTGATCAGCACACCTCCCCAACAGCATGTGAAGGCTGTACAAAAACGCTGCCAACTAACGTGCAGACCATGGGTGCAACATGCTGCAGCCACTCCCCTGGAGAAAACCCTCCAAAGCTCAAGAGTAATAGAGAGGAGAGCTAGGAACAAATAAATCTAACCCAAGCCTTGTGGATAGTAGGGAAGCGATAAGCCTGGTATATCTTGACTTTAGTGAGGGTTTTGATACTGTCTCACATGACCTTCTCATAGAGAAACTAGGGAAATTTAACCCAGATAGAGCTACGATAAAATGGATGCATAACTCGTTGGAAAACCATTCCCAGAGAGTAGTTATCAGTGGTTCGCAGTCAAGCTGGAAGGGCATAATGAGTGAGGTCCTGCAGGGATTGATCCTGGGTCTGGTTCTGTTCAATATCTTCATCAATGATTTAGATAATGGCATAGAGAGTACACTTATAAAGTTTGTGGACGATACCAAGCTGGAAGGGATTGCAAGTACTTTGGAGGATAGAATTAAAATTAAAAATGATCTGGAAACACTGGAGAAATGGTCTGAAGTAAATAGGATGAAATTCAATACGGACAAATGCAAAGTACTCCACTTACGAAAGAACAATCAGTTGTACACATACAAAATGGGAAATGACTGCCCAGGAAGGAGTAATGCTGAAAGGGATCTGGGGGTCATAGTGGATCACAAGATAAATATGAGCCAACAGTGTAACACTGTTGCAAAAAGAGTGAACATCATTCTGGGATGTATTAACAGGAGTGTTGTAAGCAAGACATGAGAAGTAATTCTTCTGCTCTACTCCATGCTGATTAGGCCTCAATTGGAGTATTGTGTCCAGTTGTGGGCGCCACATTTCAGGAACAATGTGAATAAATTGGAGAAAGTCCAAAAAAGAGCAACAAAAATAATGAAAGGTCTAGAAAACATGACCTATTAGGAGAGATTGAAAAACTGAGTTTGTTTAGTCTGGAGAAGAGAAGACTGAGGGGGCATACGATAAGAGTTTTCAAATACATAAAAGTTTGTTACAAGTCAGAGGGAGAAAAAATTGTTCTCGTTAACCTCTGAGGATAGGACAAGAAGCAATGCACTTAAAGTGCAGCAAGGGAGGTTTAGGCTGGACATTAGGAAAGATGTCAGGGTGGTTAAGCACTGGAACAAATTGCCACGGGAGGTTATGGAATCTTCGTCACTGGAGTTTTTTAAGAACAGGTTAGACAAAAACCAATCAGGATTGGTCTAGTTATTATTAGGGCTGTCAATTAATCATAGTTAACTCATTTGATTAACACAAAAAAATTAATCGCGATTCATCACAGTTTTAACAGCACTGTTAAACAATAGAATACCAATTGAAATTTATTAAATACTTTTGGATGTTTTTCTACATTTTCAAATATATTGATTTCAATTACAACACAGAATACAAATTTCAGAGTGGTAGCCATGTTAGTCTGTATCAGCAAAAACAATGAGAAATCCTTGTGGCACCTTAGAGACTAACAATTTTATTTGGGCATAAGCCTTCATGGGCTAAAGCCCACTTCATCAGATGCATGGAGCAGAAAATACAGTAGCAGATATATATACACAGTACATGAAAAGATGGGAGTTGCCTTACCAAGTGGGGGGTCAGTGCTAACGAGACAATTCAATTAACCGTAGAATACCAAAGGAGGAAAAATCACTTTTGTAGTGGTAATGAGGGTGGCCCATTTCAAAGAGTTGACAAGAAGGTGTGAGTAACAGTAGGGGGAAATTAGTATGGGGAAATTAGTTTTTGTAATGACCCATCCACTCCCAGTCTTTATTAAGGCCCAATTTAATGGTGTCCAGTTTGCAAATTAATTTCAGTTCTGCAGTTTCTCATTGGAGTCTGTTTTTGAAGTTTCTCACTGGAGTCTGTTTTTGAAGTTTTTTTTTACTCCAACGAGAAACTGCAGAACTGGAATTAATTTGCAAACTGGACACCATCAAATTAGGCCTGAATAAAGACTGAGACAATTGAATTGTCTCATTGTTTTTACAGAATACAAAGTGTACAGAGATCACTTTATATTATTATTTTTATTACAAATATTTGCACTGTAAAAATGATAAACAAAAGAAATAGTATTTTTC